TTAATCTGCTGGGACAGGACAAGTGCATTCATGACCCTTCCAAGTGTTTTTACTAGTACCACCCCACTGTCTCCATACCAAAGTAATATTTCCAGGCTTTTGCTGTCTGGTATCATGGCAGAGTGATCATGCACTGGTCCATAGACATCTTTGGAGACCTAACCAAGGCTCTCACCATCTGGCAAGGTTAAAGTTTCTGATGATACTTAAGTTCTGGAGTTGAGTGACTCCAAGGAGCAATGGTTAATAATAAAGATATTTTAGACTTGTCTTAGGTATTTGTTCTCAGTCTGGATGACCTAACCTCCAAAAAATATTTTACTTTAAAAGGTAAGATGAAAACTACCTTCTTAGAGATATGGCCTGAGCCAGAAGGTTAATAGTCCTATGCAGGTCTTTGTAAGCTTCAGGGAAATTAGTATGATCCTACCACCGGTACACGGAGGTACACGTCCAACCAGCATCTTCAGGGAGGTTTGTCTGGCCTTTGCTGCCTTCTCTGCTGAGTACAGAGCATGTGGAGATGGTTCATGTTTTGGGTCATTAGGACTAAATCTATCAAAAGACACAAGAGACAGCATGTCGAGCTCACAGTTATCCCTGTTCTTCCCATCATAAAGGTCTTTGAGAAAGGCCAGTCCGTCAGAAAACCCATATTCTGTGCCTAGCAAAGACTATCTGACAATATCTCTGATGAAGCAGTTCTGAACCATGCAAGGTTCAGGGCAGCTGGAAGGATATTCTCTGGGTATATGCATGTCCTGATTTTTCCCAGGATTTCCTAAGTACCACCATGTGGGAATAGCTCTGCCACATCTAGATCCTTCCTCAGGTTTCTTCACCCAAGGGACCTCCACAACTAACACCCCAAATCTGAAGACTGTAGGGCAAAGCCTGGAGTCTCAATGAACACTATTAATGCAGATATTATACAGCTCGTGATCACTGGAGATCTTGCCTTACAGCCATGCATTTATCTAACGTATTTATTAATTAAGAATGCACACGGTACCCAAAGATTTTCTACATCCCTGATATAAAAAATATGGAACAAGAGAAAAAAAATGTTCATCTTCCGTATTTTTATGTTTTGCTCCTTGTTTGAGGTTAGTTTTAATCTTTCCAACACATGCTCCAATATTTTACTGAGCTTGTAATTTCATGGGATTATTCAGAAATAAACTTATATTTTCCAGTTCCTTGGATATGGGCGTATTACTAACTTGAAGTAAGGATAAAGCCTGCAACTGCTTCACTTAAAAATAATAGAGTTTGGGGTTTGTTACATCTACTCCAGACTACACACAACAGCTTACTACGTGGTTATCCACAAAAACAGTCACTTCGGTCTGGAGCAAGCTGTCACACTGACGAAGCAGCTCGGATCCCTCACGGAACCATGGACCTGCTCCCTGCTAACCAGCACTGGGAACTGCAATGAATCTCATTGCTGAGTAGGGCTCATCCTGGACTGAGGTCAGCAAGGTCAACTCTGTTCAGAGCTAAAGCACAAAGCAATCTGATGCTCCTGCCATCAGGAGAAGAGGAGGCTCCGCGGAGACCTCATTGCAGCTTTCCAGTACCTGAAGGGGGCCTACAAGGGTGCTGAGAGAGGACTTTTTACAAGAGCCTGTAGTGATAGGACAAGGGGTAACGGGTACAAATTGAAAACAGGGAGGTTTAGATTAGATATCAGGAAGAAATTCTTCACGGTGAAGTTGGTGAGGCACTGGAACAGGTTGCCCAGAGACGTTGTGGATGCCCCATCCCTGGAAGTGTTCAAGGCCAGGCTGGATGAGGCTTTGAGCAACTTGGTCTAGTGGAAGGTGTCCCTGCCCATGGCAGGGGGGTTGGAACTAGATGATCTTTAAGGTCCCTTCTAACCCAAACCGTTCTGTGATTCTATGATTCTATGACATCCCCTTCCTTGTGTTTTCCTACCCTGACCAGCTGTGCTGCCTGGTTAGCTGTCTGCAGACCAGTGCTACAGAGATAACTAAGATGCAGCACTTCAGACATCGGGTGGGCGGAAAAAAAAAAGACAACCCAAGAGCAAATTTTCTTCAGCCCATATTGGCACCCGTGCTGTGCAATTCTAACATTTTAACAAGCTGGAGCCCGGCACCAAGACCGCGAGTCTGCAGTAGAGAAGAGGGTGATCGCCCCAGAGCTGATATTCGCATGCAATGACCCAGCCAGGGAAGTGGAGATGAGCCAGAGCATCATGCACCTGCCCGGCTACTTTACAGCTGCTTCAGCTCAGCATCCCAGGGGGGCTGGGATGCAGGTTTAATCCGCTGGCTGCTGCAGCCCTCTCGTGGCCACACACAGCCAACCGCACTCCGGCATGCCGGCTGCTGGGAACACACGGCCCGAAATTCTGGCTGCGTGTTAAAAAGCACAACAAGCAGCTATTAAATAGCATATCCATCCAAGAATAAACGCATAAATAAACGGAACAGACGTTTAGGGTAGTGTTTGTTCCAGGTGTACAGGCAGAGTCGCTGTTAAACGAGTTGCTTGTCAACAATCAAAGGAAAAATTACAGAGAAAGCATTAAGCAGACACGTTTTTAATGGGATGCCCTGTTTCATCTCCCTCGGCTGTCACTAAACAGCCTGCTTTGAAGTGCTCCTTTTCCTTTGAGCATTTGTGCATTGATTTACAACAGTGAGGGTAAACTTTGTGGTCACGAGTTTTGCTGGAAATGCGCCTATATGCTCAGGAAACATCAAGGAGGAGTGAAAACCTGTTGGGATGGGGAAGATTTGGGGGAACCTGGACTGCTCCCAGTTTCTGCGAAGGCTAACAGGTAGATGGCTCTTTGGAGCTTGAAAAGCAAGCCTGGGTTTTGGTATATTTTGTTTTTCCTTTCAATCTACCATGGATAGACAGAGACAACACTAACACTTGGAAATAAACCATGGGAATTAATAGTGGGAGGAGAACGTTGACGGGAACAGTGCTGAGACCCTGTCCAAGAGCCCAGCCATATGCTCCTTGCCCAGTGCTGTCAGTGAGCACAATCTAAGGAGATACCTATAGAATAAAAAATAAAATGGATCAAAACGAAAAGCTTGTGCGTTGGTGTGGGGTACTCTGGAGGAAGGTGTCCAGATTTGACTGATGTTTCCTAGACTGACAGCAGTAGTACTTACAGACCAGAGCGGTACAGTCCTGCCAGAGGGATGATGTTACGCTATCGTTTTCCCACTGCTTTCCTCTTATTTTCCTTACAGTAGTTTCAAAGGAAACATCTGCAGGAGAAACGGCTATATTTCAAAAAGTTATGAAAAGAAAAAAATCAAAACTGGAAAAAAACCCCTAAACACCAAAACAAACAAAAACCCAAACCCAACAAAACCAAAAGCCCAAAGCAGAGCCATGATGACTGTGTGAGCTGACATTCCCTGTTCAGATGGGAGCGCTGCTGCCTCTGCAATAACTGCACCTGGGCAGATGGTGAGGTGTGAAGTGGGGTAGGTTTAGCAGGACCAGCAGCACACCGGGTGACAAGGACATCTAATATTTTGCAAGCCAGTGTGCCAGCCCATGTGTCTGTGGTGCTGGAATAAGCCCTTTTATCAATACCATGCACAAATAAGGCAGCGGTATCTGCAGCCCCTTCAAGTGGACATGTGCATGTGCTTTCCAGCTTGAGCACGGAAATATCAGTTAGAGGTGGGCTATGTGCCTGCCAGTATTTTCCATCTGAGCTGATGCTTCCTGCCTTGAGAGCTATTTGCAATAAAGGTGGAGGGACCCCAGGCCCTTTCCTCCCATGTGTCCAGCCCAAGATCTGCACAGCACCCTGGCCCTTAATGCAGCACCGAATCCCACTGGCATCCCATGCAGGGTCTCCCTTTCCAGCTGGCTGCCCTGGCAGCAACTTCTTTAACCCTCTGAATAACTCAAGACCCTGTGGAAATAGTCTTAACTTACCTGTATTAGCACGGTAACCACGTACACTATACTTAAGTAATGAAGGTGCTGTTTTGCTGCTTTGAGCAAGCCAAGCTGCCTCCCATGGCTGTGGCACAAGGATGAGCTGCAGCTCACATCCAGCTCTTCCATGCTCTCAGGCTTGTCTTTCTGACCTCCAAGAAACCCTTAATGCTTCCATAAAATGGTATGTTGCATTTGTTTATTTTTAACTTAATAACCTCTTTGCTCTTCATTTTCTGTAAGCCCACACATACAGAATAAGATGTGACTGCTTTTGGTTTAAGATGGCTTTTATTTTATATGCAGAAAAAAAGTAGTAAGAAAGTAACAAAATTAATATCTGCCTGAAAGAGCAGAGGGCAAGTATCATCCTGGGATCCAAAAATTTCTCTAAACAAAAAGGCTGATAAATTTTTAAGACATGTCTATATTGCGAGATGCTGAGACTCCTGAGGCAGTAAATACCTACACTGATAAAACCCTGTGAAACAGCCTAGTGCAGAGCATCTTACAGCTCAGGTCTGGGTGCAGTGAGGCACATTACTTGGGTGCAAAGCAGCGGGGACACCTTGCTGGTTTTGTCCTGGTGCAGCCCGAAGCAGTGGGTCTGTAGGCAGCCAGCATGGGGGCTGCAGCCTCCTCCTGGCTGCAAAGCAGCACGTGGCCATACAGACATGCCTTCAGGTATGTAAACATGCTGGCTATATAGAAAAGTGGAAATCCCAGTGTCAAAAACACAGACAGGATGCATACCATTAGAAAAGAGTCCATGTAGGCTTTCAGTGAGATGGAGCTCTGTACTTTCTGGAAGACATTCTCCTGGGGCTGGACTAAGTAGCCAGGGTGAAATCTTGGCTCCATTGACCTCAGCGGGACCATGAACTCATCCACGGTGTTGCAGTGTCCGCTGACCCTGCCTGTGAATGAGAGGCTGCGGCTTAGCCCCACTTTCTCACCTTCTTGCCTGCCAGTTGCCTTCTCCCTACACTACGCCCTTCTGTGACCGCATCACCCCTATATCAGCCCTAACTTGTCTTCCGCAGTTGGTCCGGACTCTAGGATTCAACCACAATCATACTCAAGTTGTTGCTGAAGATGATCCTCCCATCCCTCCTGCTGCTGCACTCGGGCTGGCAGAGAGCTTCTTGCAGCTGCCGCCGCAGCCCCGGCGGGGCTGTGCCCAGGAAGTTTTTTGTCCCCGTCAGAAAATCCATCATGTGACCCCCAACCGGGTCCCCCTCGATAAAGCACTCGGTGATATCCCAGCCCGACGAGAACTCATAGACGCGGTACACAACACCCAGTCTCTTCAAAACATCCGTGATGCCGTTGGAGGTGATGTAGTGGCCGCTGTCTGTGGAAGGCAAGCAGTGTCTGTACTTCTTCCATAGGCTGGCCCATCCGCTACTGTCTGCCAGAGCAGGAGGGAAGGTCATTTTTGCAATGCCAAGGCAGCCAAACAACAGCTAATGCAACTACTAAAAGACTTCGAAGCGCTCCTTTGCTGCTGGCCCAGACTTTGCCAGGAGCAATAGAAGAGCTTGTCCTTTACTTGACTTCACTTATAAACAGCCATGCCTGGGGAGGAGTAAAACTGTGACTTCCCTCAGCCCTCCTCCCAGAACTCTCCCATTTAAAGAAAACCAAGGAGACAGCCTCCAGCACTGGATTTCCCCAGGACGAGGAGTACACACAGATAAATCCGTGCACTGAGCCTGCACATGCATGCTACCTATTAACTGCCTCTTTGGTAGAATAGTGCTGATGGTTTTATACATTGAACTTCAATTTTAAATTCACAAACAAGAATATATCCCTCAAAAGGCGAGTCCGAGCTCACAAGGGAAACAGCCTACCAGCAATGCTAGGGGGAGTTGTAATGGTGAACACAGGGAATTGTTCTTTATCCACCGCACCATAAGCCAGGGATTCATGAATAGCACACTGGAACAAAAATCTCAGGGGTTTTTTTAGTAAGTTTTGTGAGGTTGTAAAAGTGCCTTTTTCCTGTCCTGCCATAAAGCTCACAGCTCTTGGCAGGACCCGTTGTCCTGCTGGGGTCTGGTCCATCACTGTGCAGAGGTAAGAGCCCTAAGACAAGTCCTCCCAGAGCTCAGGTTCTGTTTTACAGTGCTGTTTTCACCATGAAGAAGGACTGACCCTCATTCATGAATAGCCACACTTCTCTCTAGCCAGCAATTTCACAGAAGGAGGTCTCTTGGAGGTACAAAGCAACTCCTCTACTTCATAAGCAGGGAAGCAAGAGCGTGAGGGCCGTGTTTAAGTAGTCCCATCAGGCATTCGGGTCCAAGAGGCTAAGCCCAGGATTGCATGCTCCCTATGAAATACAGCATTTGTTTTATTTAATTACTATAGAATAAGCTCTACTGAAATCCTGTAACAAATATTTGTGGCTCTCACACTTCAAAGGTCACCAACAAGAAGGCCAAAAATAAAAGGTCTCTCTTACCTGATAAAATTATTATCAGCAGTTTACCATCATGGTCGAGGCAGCTGTGGAAAAACTTGATAGTATTGGGAATATCCTCCACACGGTACAGCATCTGGGAGGGACAAGGGTTACCCACAGTCATCATTCCTCTTCCACAGTGCAATGACCCTTCAAAGGCTTAAACCCTTTCTCTATAGAGTAGTTGTTTTCAGTTACTTCCCAGTTGCTTCCCAGCCTGTCCTGGCTCAGCATGCACATTTAGGGATGCTCCACAGGACTGAGCATCACCAGCTCCCCACTGGCACCAACAGCCTGGGGTCAGACCCAGGGACCCTCTGCTCGGCCTCCAGCCAGATGCTGACCTGCCCATTGTTGCCCTTTGAGCCTAGTGCAGTTTTGTGGTTGAAAGTATGTGCACACGGGAATCCCCTGCTATCTGTGGATAGTCCTTATCACCAGGGCATTTCTGCCTTGTGTCTGGGCCATGAGCAGGCTGGATCTCTTCCAGACACTGAGGAATTTGCACTAGGATGAAGCAGAGCTCATCTAGAAACCTGCCCTCAGGACTTGTAACTTAGTCCTTGACTCAGTCATCAAATCCCTGAAATACTTTCTGGTTGTGAAACCAGCTCTTATGAAAGGAAAGCAAAATGAAATAAAAGAAACAAGCAATAAAAGCCACTAACATGAGAGAATAATATATTTTTTACAAAATATAATTGGCACAAAAAGCATCAGTGTCATCACTATCAGAGACACAGCAGCATAATTTTTGACCCACAACCTGACGCTGGTCTAACTTTTTAGACCTAACTTTTCCCTTCACTAATTTTTCCCTTCAGTGCCATCCAAATGACTCTGATCACCCATCCCTGGCTGCCTTCAAGGCCAGACTGGACGAGGCTTTGAGCAACCTAACCTATTAGAAAGTGTCCCTGCCCATGGCATGGGGGTTGGAATCTTTAAGGTCCCTTCCAACCGAAACCATTCTATGATAAGGCAAAAAAATCAATCTTTTCTTTCAGCAGCAAAGCATAATTGTTGATCTCTACGCGACAGGTGATAGCCTGAGACTCGTCCTGCTTTATTACTCACTATATACCGTTAAACCAGAGATCAAAACCAGGGTGGATATGGAATGAGGTTTGGTGTTTGTAGAGCTGCTGCAGAAGTTATTGCTCACGAGAGAACTGTGCTTAGCTCTGGCCTCCTTAGCTTCATGCATACAGCAGAGATGAGGGAGTAGTTAAAGCTAATGCTCCTGTATTCAAGCAATACTCCATTACCTGGATCATATGGATGAAGTCAAATTTCTTATGTGCGCCTTTCTCTTTCACCTGCTGTTCATACTCTGAGGAAGTGAGCTGGTGCCAAATAAAAGAGACATTCTGAAGGTCTGGAGCTTGATTCACCAACTCTGTTTTAAAAAGTAGAAACAAAACATGAATTTCACAAAACAGCAGAAAAGGTCATCGTTCAAATCAATGTTCCTCGCTTTACCTTTGTAAGCTGCCACGTGCTGTGGGTTGGGCTCTATGATTTCGTTGTCAATAAGGACCCCTGGGTGCGCAGCCTGCAGTACCCTGATCATTTTCAAATCCTGCTCGCCTAGTCACAAACACAAATACATTACTTTTTAAAGTACATAAATGTGGTGACAGCATGCTGGTGCACCTGCTGGCTCTGCTGCCAGAAAAACCCCCAGTAGAAGTGAGGCACACCTTATCTTGTGGTTTGCATGGTGGCATCCACCCAGTCTTACCATGACATCTTACTGCTCCAGGGAACACGTAATTGCAGTTAAGACTAAGAACAAGGAGATAAGCAACAGTGCAGAAACCTGCTAATGCCAATACTCTGGGTCACGGGACAGACGGTTCAAAATAATCAGAGATCAATGATTGAAAAACAAACAAACAACCCATGAAGCATTATTTTTCAACAAAGCTAAAAAGCTTGGAGGGATTTGGCACAGCTGTGCAACCTCAGCATGGCACAGGGGGGTCCATGCCTTTGGCACTGCCCCAGGGAGGGGATGGCTCCTCTGCTGCTGGTGTGACATGGCCTGGAGACCTGGGGACCTGCATGACAAGAGGAAAGACACATTGACATGCAGTACCCTGGGTCTTCCTTCTTTGGCGACCAGCCACATGGTCTCAGCCCTGGGCATCTACTAACTAGTCGCTATCTTGGAGCTGCAAATAGAGACTCATGTTTGTGTGTTGGTACCCTGCAAATTTAGCTACCAGTGCTCCTCTGTTGTTAAGTTCTGGAGGAGCAAGTAGCAGTCTGTTCTTCTGACCGAGGAAAGTGCCAGCTTCTTTCAAGGTGATGCAGGTCACCCTTGTTTCTTTCAGAAAGGCTATGATACACCAAGTGTGCATAGTCCATCTGGTTCACCTGGGACTATGGAAAGAAACAGGAGAGATGACCACCTTGAGTGGACCTTTGTGAGAATCCTGTCTGCAGCTGATTGTGGGGTGTAAAAATAGTCCTGCCCTTGCAAATGTCATTCACAGAGGGCTTGACACGAGATACTGCATCTTCCCTAGCCTTTCAGCTGATGTACCAGCTATGAGAAACGTCATCATCTTCAGCAGGTGTTGTGATAAATAGAACAAGGAGGGAAATATCAGCCATGCCAGCACTACAGGGACATCCAAGGAAGGACGAGTCTTTTGAAATTGGAGAAAAAGTACCGAAGACCTCTGAGGAATGCAGTGGCAGTGGTGCAGGGCTGGCTAAGGCACAAGGAAAGGGCCTGCGGCTGCATCCATTGAAGGTGGGTGAACGGACCAGTATTGCTGACAGGAAGGAAGATCCCTAAAGCAAGCAGCCGAATAATTTTAGACAGTCCTAAGTGCCAGTTAGCTGTGCCTGGGTTGGGAGCACCAGCAATTAGAGGTGCTGACGTGGGCTCTGGGCAGGTGGGAGGCAGAGTATCCCTGTCCCATGCCCTGGAGCCACTGATGCTGGCAGTGGGTATCATCACCAAATGGGTATCTTAAAAGTGGTTTGGTAGGTGTGGGTTTTTTTACTCCATCTCTCTAAAATACCCTAATACAGTCTTTGCAAGTGCAGGTAATAACATTCACAACTGGGGTGTCTGCAAAACCAAGCTGTAAAATACAGAACAGGAATGCTAAAGTTTGCCCTGAGTGAAGCCCCCATGCAAACAGCAACCCATGCTGGCACTAACTGGGAGGTTACAGCCCAGACAGTTAAACCAGCCACGGAAAACATGGGGTAAAGGAGAAAATGTGATACGGACTGGACAACAGTCTTTTAAGATGTGAAGTCGGTCACTAATCCCCATGAATATTTTCATCAACTAAACTAATTCTGGGGGCTCTGTGAAATCAGAGTCCAAGCCTAGAAAGGTCAGGGATCAGATATAACCTTTTGCTCAATGCCATCCTAGCTCACTGCTCTGCCTGGCTGCAGAAGTGCAGCTCTTGCAGCTGTGGGCAAGCTGAAGGGGTGCTAGTCTGTACCCCTGCCCCAGCACCCATGAGGGACAGCTACCCAGGAAACCCAGGACGATTTAGAGCTTTCATTTTTTCCCCTAAAACATCTTCTGAAGAGGAAATAAGAAAAAATGAGGACGGTGCAAAAAGTTCATTTTTCCCTTGTGTTTTCTCGGAGTCAGAATTTTGGTTTTATATTACTTAATGAAAATAGAGTGTAATTGAGAACTGAATCATTTCTTCCTCCTTGCTTTCTCATGTGCTCCAACATATTCCCAACCGGGGAAAATAATCCAATGCTATTTTTCTCTTACTCAGGAAAACAAACAAGAAAAAGTGAGAAAAATACTTTAATTTGAAAGTATTAACACAGAGTTCAGCTAAAAATACATTTTAAAGCAAAAGCAAACTCTGACAAAGCAAACTGCCACTTCTTTTCTCTACTTTTTATTTTCTCTCAGTTTCACTAGGATCAAAGTCGGATGTTTCACCACTTTTTTTTTTTTTTTTTTAACACAAATGCATTTTGAACAGCTTTAAAGTTATTTTTCCAGAAGTTTGTTCCACCCTGGGGGGAAGTATCATTTACAGTTAAACCTTTCTTATCAGTGGATAAAAACTCAGTAGTAACAAAGAAACACGCCTCGAGAAAGCGGATGAGGCCCTGCACTACGTGTCGTGGCCAGCTGGTTTAGCAGCACCTGTAGCAGAGCACTGTCCAGCTTTGGCCTCCGGGATCCCTAACAGCAAAGCAAAACAAGGGATTCCTTCAGGTGGGATATTCTAAGACAGGACTTCAGGTGGAACAAACCTCTGGGATGTCTCTCATTCCCTCTGACGAGGTTTGAAGATGCTCTTGTACCTAACCTGGAGCAGGGCCCCTTGATTTGAGACTTATAAAGTCAGGGGAGAGTCATCAAGAGGCAGAGTCTGAGCTAAAGTCATCACACTCACCTCACTTCTGGACAGATTTGAACAGCAGCATTCCAGAATTGAGATGGGGAAGGAAGAGAGGGAGCATCTCTCTCCACACAACGTTTTGCCACTCTTACACTATTATTAAATCCTGAGTGGTTATCCCCAGTATCACTTTCTGCTACCCATGGGGACTCCCCACCCCCAGCATCTGCGGTGCTGCTAAGCTCCTTACCTGTGCCGCTTCCAACTCCTAGAACATTTATAGTCGATTTTCCATTGCCGAGACTGAAATGATAAGTACACGTTACTTAACCACGCTATGTCACACAACTTCATGTTTTAATGCTAATATCTTGGATGCCACACTGGAAATTTAACTGAGTTTTGCTAAGTGAATTGGGATAGAAATCTGAGCATCCCTTTGGAGCCCAGCTATAACCAGCTGCGTGGTGGGAGCCAGCCCCGTATTAGCAAGCTCACATTTCAAAGTACAGTAGACATCAGGATATAGCATTTCTCATCCTTTGCCAGAGAGCTTTCTTCAAGCTGTGGCTGGCACCGTGCAAAAGGGCCTCGGGGAAACCCAGGGCAAAGGGTTCCCTTTGGGGGTAGCAGGGCTGTGCTGGGGTGGGATGGGATGCGATGGGATGGGCAGTGCTTCCCAGCCAGGGCCACAGGACAAGGTGAGCCAGGGAGAAACCTTTGTACCCTCTGGAGGTAAGTTTGATTTTCCAATATTGGATATAAGTGTCCAGAAAAATTAAAAAATCAGAGTATCCATATGACTGGAAATCCTCTCCTTTCAATATTCATTTTGGTTTGAAACTGGGAGGAAAGTTCAAAATCTTCAATCACTTTTACTTTAGAAAAATTACTTCTGAAATCATTAAAAAAACCTACCATCCAAAGTTTGTGGTTCCTAGCAGAATCTTTAATAACAGCCTGGCTTGAGGATGAGGAGCCCCACTGCTCTGACATGTTTTATGGCCTTATTCTGCTCTCAGGCGTGGGCTGTGCAGAGGGATTGAGTTTCCCAAACACAAGCCGAGGAGATGCCGCAGCAATGATTCAGCAAGAGGGAAAAGAGTAGTAAATCCTGTGGGGTATGAGCTAGTCCAGGAGGGTGAGGGTCAAGACCCTTTGACAGAGCCACAATCAACATGACAGGAAGTTCCAATGTTTTGCATTGTTTAAAATTCACATCAGTAAATTTTTCATTTAAAATTTCCCAATACAAATAATTTTTTAATTATTATTTCTATTGCTTTCATACATATATTCAGATATATAGGTCTGCAGTTGCCTACCTCGTTTGGTTTTTTCCCCATTGGAGCATAGTTTCCATAACATTCAAAAATTGCCCAAACTTGAAAGATCTTTCTTGTGGTTTGGATCTAGGCTGCTCTAAAACTTATCTGCAGTCATCCAGGCTTAATTTATTACATCAATACTTCACAAAACTGATTATCATTTGGTACTTAAGCAATGCAAATCGACTTAGGATAGAAATAAGGAGGTCTTAGGGGATTGAGAAAACCAGGAATTAGTCACTGGAAGAGAATTAGAGATGTGTTTCAGTTTGGACTGATGTGTGATGAAGTCCCAAAAGCAGGGAGAGAGCACAAGAGAGAGCTTTCTTTTGAAAAAATAAACAACAAAAAATACTTTAATCCTTGGAAAATCAGCTAATGAAAAGAGATGGACATGAAAATGAGGTCTTGATTCTTGCCTTGACATAAGCTGAGAGGCAGCACAGTGTATTAATTGAAATAGCACGTATTCTGGAGTCATTAAACAGAATATCCTAAAGACCACTATTAAAGGACTTAAAATTGAAAAGCATTCAAAGTTCATTCATGCCCCAGAGAATCTCTAAACACATTTGCTGACCCTTGTGTGTGGGGTGCCCTCCCAAGATAACCGATGGCTTTCCCACACTAGTGGAAGCAGTCCTTACCTAGCCATGATGTTAGGCATTTCTTCCCTGTTGAACTCCTCCATGCACTGGTGCTCTGTTGAATGATCCAAAAATGACTTAAAGGCCTCGACATACTCCTCAGCCGTGAGACTTCTCATGGAAGGGATCACATATAGCTCTTGAGAAATAAATACAGATGGTGTGTCAGCAGCTTCAAGGCAAATGAAGGATCAAAGCACTTACCTTGTGGAAGAAACCCAACCCCACAGAAGCCAGAGACTGGGGAAGATGGTACAGAAGATGCATGGCCCAGCAGGTGAGCTTGTGTGAACACTTTCCAACCTGTTCCTACTCAGGGTTTGAAAAATATTCCCAGATGCCCTTTGACATCAGCGTATTTGTTTAAGTGCCTCATTACTACAGGTCAGCCTGAGGAAAATGTCTCCAAAATGCTAAGCCAGACACAAGGCACTCATTTTGCAGAAAGGGGGGTAACTGGAGTGTTTTTTCTGGAAGACTCAAGGCAATCAAACAGCAGGTCCCAACCTGGAGGGGCCGTTGCTCTTGCACATGGTGGACGGCGTAACCGAGATCAACAGCTGTTGGCACGCTTCCGGTTAGGCGTGATGCAACACAAAAACTGCCACCTGCACCTGAGGCAAAAACAGTCAACCCTGTGCACCTCATTTCCTTCTCTTGCTGGCATGGGACTATGGTGTTCTGCTGGGGAGGTGAATTCCCCACTGGGAACTGCAGCTTGTGGCCGGGAGGGCAACTGACGGCAAAAGCATTTCATCTGAACGGGCTTACGCTCAAATGTGGGCGGCTGAGACCAAGATTGCTAGCTCTGAACCAATGCCCAGCGCTACTCAAGGATTTGCAAGCAGTTACTGCAAAAACTCACTTTCCTGCTGTCTCATCCTAATGACAGTGCTCCTGCCAGGGCACACGCTCTGGCCAGCTGCTTGGGTGCGAGGAACAGCGATGAGACCAAGACTTGAGCCTCATGAGAGGGTGCCATTCCGCCAAGTACTGGCTCTGGGGTCTATCTCAGACAGAGGGCTGCAGTAGGAAGGCAGTCGCAGTACCAGCCTCAACATGTTGGAAAGTTAGTATTCAATAAAATAATCCTCAAGCAGCACTGTGTGATTTTAAACTGGATGCCTGCCTTGTTCCCAAACCCACATGTCATTGGCAGCTGTGTTTCTGGTAGGTATGTATGGAGACCCTATGTCTAGCCCTATTGGAGGTAAAGATATCAACATCTACCCACAACACTTAGAACTATACCCTAACATAAACCTGAAATCACCTGAACTGCAGTCAGTTCAGCACCCTGTTTCTTTCTTTTTAAGTAAAAAACAATCTCTAACTCCAAAAGAATTAAAACACGTTTGTAGTGGTAGCAGGCTGAGTGGGCATTTTACTTTAATCTCCTTGGTTTTTTTCTCCCAAATACCTGAATTATCGTGTGGAGCTGTCAGAATCTCTGCTTCAAAGTTCATGCTGGGGAACCTATTCCTGTAAGGAAAGTATAGCACTTCAGTTATTTGAAGAACCTGTATGCTTTTTTGAAGCTTCATTGAAAATACAGAACAGAAGAAGATGCTCCAGGGATAATTTTCCTTGCCTGGCAAGCTATATTGTTTGTTCTCTTTTACTAAAATAAAGTGAATCAAAACTTCTTGGTTAGCTGATCACCTGTAAGTATCAGCAATGGACTGGCCACCTGCACCAGTGCCCGTCTGAGATGTGTTGTGGAAGCTTTTCCTACCTCTGAAGAATCGTTAACTTGTCAATAGAGTGGAAGGCATTAGACTAACTGATATTACACACTCTGTGAAACCTTTAATCATGAACGGAGTAGAAGAAATAGCAGTGAAATTCGGAAAGAGGGGGTGGTGAGGTACTGGACCAGGTTGCCCAGAGAAGCTGTGGATGCCCCATCCCTGGAAGTGTCCAAGGCCAGGCTGGATGAGGCTTGGAGCAACCCGGTCTAGTGGAAGGTGTCCCTGCCCATGGCAGGGGGGTTGGAACTAGATGATCTTTAAGGGCCCTTCCAACCCAAACCATTCTATGATTCTATGATAATGAGCTTCAGTATCTGAATTGCTAAAAGATCTACTTGGCCCAATGTTTCCTGGATCTTTTTGCTTTGCCTTTTTTTTTTTTAACTTCTGTATTTCCTAGCTGCAAATATCACACTGGGTAATATGTAGAAGGCACAAGACTCAAAGGGCAAAAGTCAAAGGGGTCATTTGACCATAAATGTTTTCATTCTTTGTTTAGGGGTTTTAGTGAAGATGTCCCACAATGAAGTCACATCTTCATTTTCCTTTGACAGCATGTGTCATCTATAAAATAAGGGATGAGGTGCCACTAGCGAAAGGAAACTACAAAATTAAATTGAAGCAAGGACCTCACTTCCTCAAAGAAACTGTTGGGGTGAGGCTATCTGTGCAAGGGGGATAGTCATCTTCTGGGTGACCACATTTCAATATCGAGGTGCACAGCAAGACTGAGGAGTGATATTCCTGTATGACCTGGGTTTAGACACATTGCTCCTCCCAAAGCTTTTCCATTAGGAAATGCTTCATGACCAGCAGTCTGCAAGAGCAGTAAGCAGTCCCTGAGTCCCATTTGCCAGGGAGGAAAGTCCTGCATGAGTAAGACACAAGCCAGGAGGTGGAAAAGAAAAAAAGGGAGTTTTGTGGTAGGGCTCTGAGATACACTTTGGAATGATTGTGCTAGCAGGTAGCAAGGAAGTGGCCACACATGCAAATAGCACACTGCTTTGGCTGACGAAGGCAAGAAAAGACTGAGGTGAACCCGAAGTCTCAGGGGCGCTGGGATGCTGCCAGACTTCTGCAGAAACCATGGATCCCAACCGAGTTCACTGCCAAAGTCACATGCCTGGCTGCCACAAAGTACATTAAGGGTCTCAGTTCCACCACCTTAACAGGACCTCTCCTCAGAAAATCTCTCACAGAAATTCAGCAAACAGGCCTGAACTCAACCGACCTCCATAAACTCCAACTTGGCTGCAGGCCAGTCCCTCCAATCTCCACTCAAACCTCTGACCTCTTCCATCTCCCCCTGTCAAAACAGAGGACTATTCTGTCCTCTCAGTTGGCTGAACTGAGCAAGATGGTTTTCAGAATAAATCTCCCAGTAAAAGGCCGAGGGGTAGCGTGGCTTCCCCTGGGCGGAGAGGAGCACCTCTCAGGGTCTGGGGACACGAACTCCATTTCTGACCGGTCAAATGTTTCCAGCTATCCCAGACCTGCCAGGTGACCTGGACAGACTGCAGCACAAGTATTCGCCAGGATGGATGATGCCAAGATAACTCTTCCACCGAGACTTTTGCTGTTTCTCCCTAGGCAGGGTTTCTAAGATTGGTTAATGCCTGTTGCTGGGAAGGTGAAACAGGCTTACTCATAGCTGGGAACAATGGGGTTCCTCTAAAATCTGGCTTAAAATCTAGCCTAGGTCTGAAAATTGACTGCTTTGGGCTGATGCTGCCCATCCCCAGACCCTGACAGCCTTCAGTGGGACTGAAGCAGTGACTGCCAGGGACTGGGATGCTTGTGGGCAGATGGTCCTGCCGCAGCTCCTGGCTAAGTCGGAGCTCGCCGTTAGCAAGGATAAACGATTTCCCTTCCATGAACTGAGCAGGCTGCATCACAGGCTGAAGGTGCAGGGCACAGACAATATTCATGGTGTCACTTTACGTGATGCAGCACATTTATGTTGCAAAAAGTCATTAACTTCAAGATGTTTCTAGCAACAAAAATTGCAAGAACATCTTCATAAATCACCTTTCATTACACCTGAACTTTGGCTGCTAAGGGGCTAAAGGTCTCCTCACAAAGGTTAGTTTAACCCTATCCCTCCCAGGACATAGCCCATGTGCTGTTACTCCCACCTTACACACATCCGCCCGTGATACAGGGGCAGTAGGGCTGGCTCTGCCACAAAGCTGGACAGTGGGGAAGCACGCACCCTCACTCCTTTCCAAAATCCACATACCTCTTCATCTCCGGGGTTGGGTCCATGGCTGGGGCGGGTGCCGTGCTGGGACACGGCGGCTGGGCATGGGGCTGGGGGTTAGCCAGGTGCCAGGCCCCTATGTAAGCATGTCCTCCTGCCGTCCCGCTCCGCACCGTCCGCTCAACCCGCCGCGGTGCTGGCAGTGACCCCGGCGCACAGCCGCGGCTCGGCCGGCACCTGTCGGGACAGCCCGCGTCACTGGGGCGCGAAGGGGAAACCTGAGCCCCGTGGGGAAGGAGCGAGGGGCCAGGGCGGGCGATGCGCAAGGCCTGACGTCTGCGGGGCTGACCTCATCGCATGGGAGCTGTGCTGTTTCGCAGGGGAGGAGACAAAAAGGTGGCAGATTGAGACTTCCAAACCTTTTAAACCTGAGTGGACCAGGGGCCATTTCTATCCACTTTTTAATTTGCCTTGAACCCTGCCTCTCCTTCGTGCTCGCTGCCCTGGGCAGAAGGAGACACTTCCCTGCATCCTTGTCAAGCTGCTGCCTGGACACACTGGGGATGCACTGGGAGATCCCTGCTTTCTCTGGAGAGAAGAGGGACTCGCTGGTTGCCCAGAGACAGGCAAGTGATTTTTCCATCTCTGACTCACGAGGGAAATAGTGACGGTACCTGCCAGCGGGCACCAGAGGCCCGTGGGCAGCCTGGCACCCCCCGTCCCTGCCCTGTGAAGGGGACAAAGGGGATGGGCAGACAGGGCTGGGGGGGCTGCGAGCCCAGCCAGCTCCCACTCTGCTTGCAAAACCACAGGAAACATTTTTGGGAGACAGCTGTGCAAGCCAGAGGTGGCTGGAGATCACCTAGGATAGGATGGCATGGAGGTGCAGCATTTGCTATTAGAAATACAGAAAAACCTGGCTGCTCCCTGCACCGGGATTTGTCCCTTTCTCCTACCAGCATCCACAAGACTGATGCTTTTTTTGACTTTTTTTTTAGAGAATTTATATTTCTAAGTGAGGTCCAGTGGCTGAAAGCACAGCATTAGGATCCTCTCCATTCCCTTTCCCTGAAGGCAACGGGCAGAACAGATTTACCAGACAACAAATAAAACCTCCTCCCTTACTGAGATGCCTCCCCAAAAACGGCTCACTGAGTCCAGGGATCATGTTCTGAGGTGAGGATGCTGCACCACCAAGTGACCTGTCTTGGTTTATACTAGCTTTGGCTTCCAAAAGGGTGTAAGTTATCTCCAAGGCAGGTCCATAGCAGCATGTTAAACTGGAAACAGCCACATCGCTGCTCTTAACCAAAATATTCAAATCAAAGGTAAGGAACAACCAGAACCTCTTCGCTCACCCTAAAATGCAGATTCAGCTCCTGCTGCTGTTTGACCACCCAGGCCATGGTTTTACATCAACCATTTCAATCCACAAATGTTTCCACCAGAGACACCAAACCCCAGGCACAAGCCCCACACGGCACAGCCATGGCTCCCTCGTGTCCCCTGGCCACCTCCGCCTGGTCCCAGCTGAGCCACACCACCCACTCCACAGTGGGCACCCCTCCACCCCACTGCCAGGGATCAGCACCCCACGGGCCGCGGCAGAAAGCCATACCTTCCCGGAGCAACCGGAGCTGTAGAGAAGCCTCCAGGAGCCCTTGGAAACCTCCTTGTACATCCCCTGGGGATTGACATCCCTTCCTGGCCCCCCCATTTCCCCCCCACCAGCTTCACCAACCCACGTAGGCGCATGCCACAACTGAGCCGGCATTAGCCTACAACAACAGCCTTTGTTCCCCAGCACTGGAAACAACAGCACATTGTGGGTAGCTGCCTGCGCCGGCAGGAATTGGCTTTGGAGGATGTACCCTCCACACGCTGTGCTCTCGGCTGTGCTGGCAAGCTCAGGACTAAATCCGCTCTAAACTCTGTTTTTCATGCAAATTGAAAAAGCTGAGGGTTTGTTTTTTTGATCAGTGAGATGATGGCTAAAGCTAAGCCAGGCTGCAGTGTAAGAAAAACAAAGCACCAGTGTTTTTCCCCACACGCTGAGGTTGTGGAGGTCAGTTTTGGGCTGATCCTGCAGAAATAGGTCATTCCCTTTTCCCAGTGCCAAGCCTGCCCAAGGCCGGGACTGCCCAGGGTGCTGAGCCCCCCCGATGCTCCACCTCCATCAGGCCATCACAACAAGCTGCAGAGCCTGGCCATTCCAGCCCCATTTCTATTCAACCTCTCCAAAAAACAAAGCATCTAGGTGTGGAAATCAATTATATTTTTTTAACACAACCTTTCCTGACTTTTCACTAAAGCCTGGCTGCTGGTGCAGTTCTCCCAGAGCTTTTCAAATCACCCTTTCCAAACTATTTGACTAGAGGTCACATCTCATGTAGTGGTAATTATAGAGCTAAGGCAAGGGCAGAGGGAGAGTCCAACGTGACCACCTTCGGAAAGGCTCTTTGATTCAAGGTGAAGACCAGCTTTTGCTATACAGAGCATACAGTGTTCCAAAAAAGAAGTATCTTTGAGAGCAAAGACAGGTACGATGAAGTGTGCCTTTTACCCCTGAAGAGCTCACAGGTCTTCAGACAGGGAAAATACACTCAGAATTTAAATTTCCCCGGCTGCACCTGTGCTGCTGCCGATAGCATGTGCTGGGAGCACAGAGTTGGCAGGATTAAACACCTCCGACAGGTACAGTGCTCCAAACCCAGGGCATCTGCAACCCCCACTGTACGGAAAAGTGGAGGATTGCCAGAAAAGGACGTTTTGTCCCCAGCTCAAAGTCAGCAGTGCAGACTCTACAGCTGTGGGGACTCCCTGAGAAGTTTTTCTGGTTCAGGAGGATGGGCTAAGGGGGACAGGAGGTCTGGTAAGAAATAGGTTGTGATAAGGGATCCTTATAAGGCTGGGGTGACTGAGGTGGGGGGTACAACCAGGGGAGCGTGGTGCCGCAGGAGCTTTGCTTTAGTTAAGGTTTCTCAGGGGTGCTGGTGTGCTAAATGTGATGCTCCTGTGCTTCAGTGGGGCTCACCAGTCAGCCTGTACCTGTGAGTCAGTCTGCAGGTGCAGGAGTTAGACCTGGGCAGTTTGGGTCAGTCACAGCACCTGCAAGGTGATCCACACTGCTGGCAGACCCTGCACCCGTGGGTCCTGAGCTCTCATAGGGACCATAATGAGTTCAGACAGCAGATAACACAAAAGTAGCGTTGAATTATTAATGTTACTGATCGCATTTCAATTGCACCTGAAACGAAGGATCAGAATTGAAATTCTGTTCACTTACCTCCTCTTAAAGCAAGGCTGAGCCCAGCCACCACGGCACGCGTCACACCGCACCACCTGGAAGGGAAACGGCCTGGACACTCCCCGCACACAAAGTGCCTCAATAGAAGCCACCCTGCCAGGCAAAAATCTGTTACAAAACCAGAATACTTCTTTTTATACAATCAGTGGAAATAAGACGATGAGTCGCCCTTCTCTGGGTGAACAGAAAAAGCAAATGGTGGGAGCGCGGGTACGAGTCATGTGGGGGATGCTCACCTTTCACAGAAGCCTTGGCTGATCCTCTGTCCTGCTCTTAAAAAGACTATGCTTAGCTAAATTAACATTTCTTTGAAAGTTTGCCTAGTGTTTCCTCTCCATTGGCACTAAGTTCTGCCATCTTAACAAGCCCATGAACAATTGGGCTTGTTCAGCCTGGAGAAGAGAAGGCTCCTGGGAGACCTTATAGCACCTTCCAGTGCCTGAAGGGGCTACAAGGAAGCTGGGGGGGACTTTTTACAAGGGCCTGTAGTGACAGGACAAGGGGGAATGGGTTTAAATTGAAAGTGGGGAGGTTTAGATTAGATATCAGGAAGAAGTTCTTCCTGGAGAGGGTGGGAAGGCACTGGGACAGGTTGCCCAGAGAAGCTGTGGATGCCCCATCCCTGGATGTCTTCAAGGCCAGGCTGGATGAGGCTTGGAGCAACCCGGTCTAGTGGAAGGTGTCCCTGCCCATGGCAGGGGGGTTGGAACTAGATGGTCTTTAAGGTCCCTTCCCAAATGATTCTATGATTCTATTTCTCAAACCCTGGTATTTATGTCCCTGGAGCATGGCAGCCGGGCGCTTTGGAGCAGAAGCAGCTCCCGGCAGCCACAGTGACTCCAGTACAAAGTGAGCAGAGATGGAGAAAACCACTTTGAAAGCCTGAAAACTTACTGACAGATATTAATTAAAAATTCAGTGTGAAGAAACATCAAACAACGCATCTTTGACTCAGACAAGTGTTTCTGATGCCTGTCTATCATTTAGCAGATTGCAAGGCCTTATTAACAGGTATAGGAGAAAACGTTGAAAAACTAAAGGGCCTGTTTTACCAAAAGCCACTAGATGGGGATGCAAGGACACTTTTCTGCTCCTTCTCTTACACTTGGATCCCCATTCGGTTGTGCTTGAGCTAGCCTTTCCCGCAAACATTGGCTGTTGTCTTTGCTTTTTCTTTCTAGGAGCTGACAGAGGTCATCTGTAAACGTACCACTCGCTGACCTTTCATCCTGCGTGAATCAGGCCTTAGGCAACGGTTACGATGTGATTACTGCTTGCCGAATTTTATTCTCTGCGTCAAGGGAAGGGTGAAGGACTTGGCTTTCAGTTTGCGGATTAGCCTTCCTTTATAGGCTGTGGAAAGGAAAAGTACTTTCTATTGAACACAGTGGGGGAAAAAAAGGTATTCAGCAACCTGGTAATCTCTGAATATGGCCATACTTTGGAATAGTTACTGCAGAAAAAAGCCAGGAGATTTTTGCTGAGGCCCTATAGTCAAATCTCTGGGCTTTTTTTTTCCTCCTCCTTTGAAATCCGTATTTCTCCTATGAATAAGAGAGATAAAATGAGAAAGATTGGTTCGGCAGAGGTGTAGGCAGGATCAGCCCTGGCGTCTAGGGCAGAAGGACTCCACAGAGGTATACCATGAGCACATCTGAGCTGCGGGAATCCATGCAACACGCACATAATGCTATGGGGCGTAAGGAGTGAGGACGGCTCCAGCTACACCATAATTTTCATCTCTGACCTCCTTGGCCT